CCGCCCGCTCTCGGCACGTGACGCCAGCGCCCCTCCCCCGTCACGTGTTCTACACCCCACCCCCCCCAGCCCCCTCCAGCGCTCGCCTGGGCCTTCCTCCACTCTACCCCGTGCCTGCCGGGGCTGCGCGCATGCGCGGGCGGCAGCTGTCATCCGCGCAGGGAGCCGGCCGTCCCGCGGGTACCGGCAGGAAAAGCTCCGAGGGGAGCGGAGCGGAGTGGAGTTGCCGCCGCCGTTTCCCCTCTTCCCTTTCCTCTGGCTGCGGTCGCAAGCTTAAACCTCTCCCGGACAGGTGCGTGGCGAGCTCCGAGCCGGGCCGGACGGCGGCGGCGGCGGGGTGGAGGCGTGGGGCGGCGGATAGGGGAAGGCCGGGCCGGGCCGGGGGTGGCGGCGGCGATGAGGCAGGAGGAGCTGTGTGGAGCCGGGCTGCCCGCAGCGGGACAGGCCGCTGGGGTCGGGTGCGAGGGGCGGAGCGGCCGCCGTGCCGCCCGGCAGCGGGAGGAGGGGTCAGGACACCCCCCGGGCGGCGGGGAGGGGATCGGTGCCGGGACTCGGCCTCGTGGAGCGAGGTGAGGGAACCGAACCGGCAGGTGTCGGAGGAACGCGGCTCGCCTTCCCGTGTGTGTCCGGCGGCTGCGGGTCGGGGTGTCGGGGGGCTCTCCCGAGGGGTCGGGCAGTTTCCCCGGGTGCTGGGGGGCACAGCCCGAACCTCTCCCCGCGTCGCTTTGGGCTTCGGTCGGACTCGACGGACTCTCCAAACAGCCTCTTTTGCGGTAGGAAGTACCACCGGGGCGATGCAGCTCGTTCCTCTCCGCCCGTCCTTAGGGCGTTCCGAGGAGTTAATAGTTGCAAAGTGCTAGAAAAAGTTGAGAGCCGTCCGGAGGTGAAAGTACCCCGTGGAGCGCCGGTGCCGCCTCCGCCCGCCGGTGGTTACCGTGCGCCGCGCTCCCGCAGCCGGTTCCGGGGTCAGGGCTCCATGCCATGCTAATAGCCTGCTGCTAATGAGGCGTCTGTCTTCTGCAGCTGGTTTTGACTGGCAGTCTGAAATGAGAAGTTGTTATAGAAAATGTGTTGGCTTTTGTTTTTGTTTTTTGGTTTTTTTTTTTTCTTTCTGTTAGGTTAACTGTATTCGAAAAAAATACCAGCTGTTTTTTTAAAAGATTTCTATTAGCTCAAAGTGTAAACAGCGCTTATTTTTTTATATTCTTACACTGCAGTTCTATGATTCTTTGCACTCTTCTCTGGGACATTAGCCACAGCAGCAGTGGAAGTTACCTGGTGGCTACTAAACCAATAGTTTTTCAAGCGGAAACACTTCCCACAAGAAAGGAATTTAGGAGCAGCCTAAGGCAGGCTATTTTTTGTCCCCCTACAATGGTTTTTTTTTTTTTTGTTCACATTCGTAATGAATGAAGAATTGAAAATGACTGTGTCTTGGGCTTTACCCTTGTTTTTCCTCAAACTGTGATAACTAGCTCGTGGTATTACTTCACAAAAATGCCTTCCAAACACAAGACAATGGAAAACACTAGCACGATTTGCTTCTCTGTACTTGAAATGAGGGTAAATTCACCCACTGCCAGTCATGCTTATCTTACTCTCGACTTTGGTTTGGAGTGGTGCTGATGTTATTGATTGCTGGGTACCAATGGTTTTCTTTTAGCTAAGTGCAGATACAAATGCATGTAAGAGGAATTTCCTATGTAGGGAATGACCTAGGAAGCAGTATGTCTTATCTAAATAAGCAGGCATGATTAAATAGCCATTGGATTGGAATTAGAGCCAATGTATATGAGAGAAAAAACTTTAGTCAGTGTTTAAGAAAAAAACAAATCTGATTTCATCTTTTTTTTTTTCCAATGGTAAATATGACAAAATGGAAAAAAAATTCAAGTCCTGTAATTTTTAGTCCTTATGGATGAGTATTGAGTACAGAATTTTGTACCAGCCTGATTTCTAAACAAATCAGGTAAACAGTTCTACATCAAAATGCACAATTATGACAGTAATGTATTCAAATCAGAAAATTACATTGTCAAGATAAAACTCTTCCTAAGCTATTATGAACAAACACAGTAATCACGAAAAAAATAAGGTGACACCTAACTTCATTAAAAAATATTTGTGTAGAGTTAAGACTTCCTCAGTTTAAATATCTCTTGGTTGGTCTACTACTTAGTTCTGCAGTTAATTCACTTTGAAATTTTCAGTTTTTTCTGTAGATGTCTTTTACTGGGATATGTTTCATCAGCACAGTGCTGAGCAGAATGTGAATGGGGTATATGGTGGTGTCAGTTCTGGTCAAATTTGTTTTATGAAGGTGATATTTTTATCCTGCTACCCCCCAACATAAATTAAAAAAACCCAACCTAATACATTTTGAAACATGTTTTTAGTATACGTGGAGCTTCAAAGAGAGCATGTTTTACTTTAATTCTGCTAATACAAGGTATTTTCAAGTTCTCTGAATGATCATACAAATAGTTCAAAAAATGATGTTCTGGATTGGTAAGATTTTAATACTTTCCGTGTGAAAAATCTGTATGGTCACTTGATGGCTTAATATTTTGTGTCTCAAAGTGAACAAGTGATGTGTTCTTTTCTTGATTTTCATTTAGATTCATAGACTGACTCTTAATTAAGATATTTTCAAGATCTGCATACGTGAAAGATAGTAATTGTTGTGTAATCAAATGACATATGATGTCCATAATAATTTGCTGATCGGAAGTCCAGAGCCTGTTTTAAACTCTTATCGTAGTTTTTGTATACAAAGAGTTAGAGTTTCTTCTCTCTTCAAGTTTCTTAAATGGCATTGTATGTCATAAGTCATTCTGTTGCAGGCTTGCATTTTTCTCCAACTTTATTTCATCTGTTTAAAATTGTGGCTTTAAGCATAACAGATAAGTTGTTAACTTTGTCTGCATGAGTAGTCCTCCTACTGACTTATGCAAGCAGTCATTTTTATCCTTAATTCTGTTTAGATCTAACATTTGCTGTACAGTATATTTAGGCCAGTATACCCTAAAAAACAGGGCAATGTATGTAAACAACAAACTAGTAAATTTGTCAGCTTTTTAAATTTAAGATCTTAAAATTACAAGAGTTAATATTCAAAACGCATCTTCTTGTCTGTTCTCAGACATGACAGGATACTTCATTGACTGTTGCAGATACTATAGAGGAGTTTCACAAACAAAATATGTTCCAGTTCCTTTGTGACATTTCTGCCTGTAAAATGTAGAATCAGAATCACTTGACTGAGGCTGTCGTGATTTATTTCAGTAGACCTATGATTTCCTGATGGGTTTTGTCTAATAAAATTAAAATGCTAGTTATTAGCAGGTAGCCTTTTTCTAAGAAGACCTAGATAACTACTATTCATAATAGATGCTGTATGACAAAAATTACTGTGCTGGCCCAGGTTTTGTTTCATTTTCACAATTTATTTCTTTGCTTAAAACACAATTTATAAGTTATTAAAGCTGTAAATGAACCTGTGGCTCTGGAGGCGGATAAATTGTTTATAATCATAAACTGTTTTGAAAAAAAAAAAGCAGTTTTGGTTTAAAACTAAAATTAAAATTGGGGAAATAAGCTATGAATACAGACATAGAAATAAAAGAGTTTAAGAAACTCCGTAAGTTTTAGGAATCAAACTCTTCATGATTGGGTTTGACTTCTGATGGAAGTATTTGGAATATTAGATTTGAATATATGATGACAAATATTTCAAAACTGAGATCAGTAAAAGTATCTTAAATTGGGAATAATATTAGGCAATACTAGAGGAGAAACTTTCTCTTGACTAATTTATAACCTTCAGGGTTGCAGATATGGCTTATGTTTGGGTTGGTGAAACTTCTAAGCTCACAATGTTCTTTTGTTGTCCCTGTGAAAATGTCTGTTGGATTTATTGAGATACAAATGTGAGCTATATAGTTTACAGTTAATTGAACTTTTTGTGTCAAGAAGTTATATGACATACTTCAACGGAAGCACAGTGTTGATTCTTTCTTCTTGCTTGTTTTGTCTATAATAATATTATGGATTAAAGCCGTGTGGTTCCCAGATACCAGTCTGTGAGTTCATTTTAAGTGTTCTGCCTCCGGTACTACATGGTATGCTGTTCCAGTGACCTGTGATCAGTTTGGAGTGAGGAGGCTTTTGGTTATGCCAGCCTAGAAGATGCTGCTTTCTCCACTGCTGTGAGCATTGTAGCAGAGCACAGAAGCGCAGTATAACTACGTGGGCTTTGGGTCGTGTGGCTCACCTCAGTGTGCATACTTTCAGTCATAACAGGAGAAAGACGAGTCTTCCCTGGCCGCCAGGTATTGGGTCTGTGGCAATTTAGAACAAGGTGTAAGGGCAGGGGAATTGCATTACATCTTTGAATTACAATATCTTTTATGAGAGAGGAAATGCTTCCTGAGCAGGTCAGTAGTTGCTAGGCCCTATCACAGTGCAGAAATAACAGCTTCAGGTATGCTGTAAGTAGTGTAAAGTGGAAAAGTAGTAGTAGTGTTAAGCAGGAAAAGTACATCTTTCTGTTTCTCAGGTTATAGAGACTCATTTACACTTTCTTTTGTTCTCTTTCTGCATATGATAAAGGATGTCATATAGTGGTGTCTAGTGAAAAATGTTATTGTGTTTATTATAGCATATCACTTAATATGTGTGTTTTGATTTATGGAGTTGTGAAATTCATAGTGTAAGAGCACCTTTTGGGAGGAGATTTGTAAAGGCAGATAATAATGCGCCATATAGTTAGGGAGTTTTTTTGAGAAATATATATTGGCCGAAATGACAGACATGGCAAAACTGTTTGAAAGTGCTTAATCAGGAAGCGGTTCACATCTACCACCTGCTACTTGTATCTTCAGCAATATTACAGGCTGCATTAGCAGTGGGTATTCTTGTGAACTTTTAGCTGCTTGTAAATTAGCTTTTTAAAAACTGAGATCTAGGCCAAACTGCTTTCTGTTGGCCATGCTCTACACCCAAATTTGAGAATGTTGTTGCACCATTGTGTGAATTCATGGTTTACTTGGATTTTCAGTAGTGCTTACAGCTTTGGTAACCCTTTTCCCTGACTAAAAGTTTTACTTTACTGAAACTGATAAAGATCCAGAAATAGAATGCAATGATGATCAGAAGTATGGAATGGATTTTCTATGAGGAGACTAAGTCTTCAGCTTAGAAAAGAAATGACTGTGGGAGATCATGATAGAGATCTGGAAGTCCTGTGTGTTCTGAAAGTAAATATGAACGGATAGGTTACTATTCCCAGTG